AATAAACATGGACATGTGGTATTATTCTGTGATCATGTTCTGCTGGTGTCAGTTGTCCACAGTTGTTGTCTGAGTTATGGTTTGAAGCAGGAGGACCAGCACCACCACCACCAAAGTTTAGCATCATGTTCTAGTTTTCAATGGCATTGTCCTTTCACGTTTTCCAGCCCTTCTGTTGGCCTCAACACAGATTTTAATCATTTTTAACAGCTCAGTTTTACATTTGTACATTTTCCTCTGACCAGTTTTTCATTCACTCCCGTGTAAAACACGCTGCTGATTTAACAGCACAGAACCACTGGGGGTCTGATGCTGAGCAGCCGCTATGTTTCACCGGCAAAACTGTTATCATGTGACGGTTTCACACCCAAAAGATGAGATGTGCGCATGCACACACACAGACTCACACTCATGCTGGCACTGTGCTGCAGAGCGTCTGGGGAGAAGCGGTGGACGGACAGGTCACCCAGCACGGTTGGCAGCTCGGCTCCGGCCTTGGCTCGGCTCACCACTGCCGTCTGCATGCGCTCATGGTGTTGGCAGGTCACCCTGGACCCCCCACCCCCCCCGCACACACACACACTCCTTCACAGCAGCCATGTCTAATCCCCCACCTTCTCTTCCTGGCTGCAGATTACACACCTACATACTGGATGGGAGGCGATGGGGGTAGGGATGCCCCAACTCCCTCCTTGACCCCCCATCACACACACACACACACATACACACACACTCTGTCCTGTTGTCAGCTGGCTGTGAAAGGCAGAGGCTGACCGCTCGCTGTGATTAAGCACCAACTGGTCTGCGGCCAGCGAACTGGAGCATCACCACACTGCCCTGTCCTCCTCCTCCACCACCCTATGGTCGAACATGTCCACACTCAGCTGGCTGAATCTGTGTTTTGGCCTAACATGTTCACACACCACAGACATATTAAGCTTTGTGCAAACCCTTGTGTTGCTTCACAGAGCCTGGTGCTGCACAAAGAGCACAACTGTTTTAGACTACATCCACGCTAATGTAGCAAAATCTGGAAATGCATCCTCTCTGGTGTGGTCCTCCCTCAGTGCAGCTCCTGCATGAGGCAGGGCCCTAAAAACACTCATTCATATGTAACCAGAGCCGAGAATGTGGGCACAGATCCAGGTGTTGGTTGGTCAGCTGCAGGTTTTATGCATCATCCAGCAGGAGAATAAATGACAATCTTTTTAACAAGCCTGGTGTTCAGGCTGAAACAGGTTGAAGTCCTGAGGCCACTTCTTGTTGGTTGGCAATGGCTTCCTGTTCAAAGCAGAAAGTCTGTTTACGGCCTCAAAGATAGGCAACACACACGCACTCGCAGCAGGACAGGAGAGAGCTCTGGATGATGCATAAAATCCAGACTGCAGCCAACCTCTCTCCAGCCTCGGCGAGCTAATCTGAAGCTACTCTTTGCCTGCTGCTTCACTGAGCATGCTCTGTGGGACACACGCCATCCAGCCTCCTGCCACTCCACCTCGCCTGTCCTGTAGCCTCTGGTCCATCCAGGCTGCGCTAGCCTGAGCTCATGCCGCCTCCAACATGCATGATGGCACGGTTTCAGCATGACCCCCGGGGCTGGATGGAGAGCAGGGAGATGTCACGTCAGAACAGTTTAAAAGTTTCTGCTGATATTAATGTAGGATGGAGGAATAAATAATTCTGAGGAGGTGACACAAGGTGAAGCAAAGCAGCTGTTGATTAACAGGACAGATGCTGGATGAGAGCACTTCAAGCTCTAATGTGTTATTAGAGTCAGGAGCCCTTTAAAAAAGAAAGCAAAGGACAAACATGTTGCAGAAGTCACTATGCAACCTGTAACAGCTGATGTGTATACGATCATGCTTCAGTGCATCTAGATATTACATTTGTTTCATCACCAAGTTTCTTTGACTGGATTTGCAGAAATTTTTTACTTTCTAATTGTCCAAAGATTTTTTTATTGGCTTTGGTGTGTGTTGGCTACACATACAACTAAATCTCATGTTAGGTTGGTTAAATCCTGTTTCCCCATACAAGATGTGTGACAGAAACGGTGCGTTCTGGTGTAAAAGCAGTCTGCTGCAGGCTTGTCTCCATTTGTGCCATTACTTCAGGTACTGATGTATGATTGTGCAGCAGGATGCCTTCAGAGCTGCTGTGATATCAGATTCAGAGTTTTGGCTTCTCACTTGGTATTAGCAGGTCTCACAGGCCTACAGCTACAACCCCATCACTTTAATATCCTGTGTTTGTGTTTGGTTGTGTGCCCAGGTTGTCCTGAGTGTGTCAGGAGTGTGTGTTGGGAGGCTCCCATTAGCTCCCACTAACAGCCCCTCTCCGCTTTATTAATCAAATCCACAGACATCACTGGCTACAGGCTGATGAAGAGTGTGTGTTTGTGTGTTGGACACAGCTGCTGTGTCATGATGTGACAATAAAAGTCAAAGGTCATCATTCAGTAGTAGCAGAGGAGGAGGAGGAAAAGGCCAGCTTTCCTAGTGGCAGTGAACGCACCGTCGAGCTGCTTCCTCATTTCATGTGGAAAAACCAACTAATTATGTGGAAATATGATAATGTATATTGCTGGGGGAGCTGCCTGCAAAGCTGCACTCATTACCCAGACTCCCCTGCTCCTTCCTGGCCCCTCTCTCATGCCCTCTCTTGCTCTCCTTCTTGGTATTTCTCCCAGGGAGTCTCGCCCTTTCACGACTGGAGAAACATCAGCGGCTGGTCCGGCTTGTTTTGGATCAAGACAACGCCTCATTTACATAATCTGAGGATGAACTCCGCCTTCTCATCCCTACCAGGAAAGGTCAGATCCCCCTCCTCTCCAAACTGCCCCTGACATTGCCCCCGTCTTCTTCAGGAGGTGATAGGCCCCCACGCCATCTCTCCCTCCTCCCCGTCCTCTCTCTTTCCTTCAGTCCGGCCTCACCTGATGCTATCGGCCTGGCTCCAGACCGCCGTGTGATTCCCCCCACCGCATCAATCCATCCTCTGGGATAGTCAGTCAGTGGTTCAGATGTATTAAAGCTGACAGGTTCCTAGTGTGACTCTCAGCCTCCACTGGCCACCAGTATGACTCTTTAATGGGAGCAATGGGCCTGAGAGAAGATCAGCCCCACTCCATTAGACACGCCAGTTGCCTCACTCAAGCCACAGCGCAGTGTCTTACTGCACACTAACGCAGCACACTGTGCACTGCTGTGGTTTGTAAACAGGAAATTAGGCTGCGTTCATGTCACTTACTTGTGTGTAAAGCTGGAGCTCCCCACGTTTATTATTGTGGTCACAATGTTGAGGGTCTGACACAGGATAGACCCTTAGTGAGCCAACGAGGAGGTAGAGTCGGCTCCTACTAACACACATCTACAGTATGGTCCTGGTGACAGTTCACTAGCATGGACCTGCCCTCACTATGGATGAAGAAGAGCTGTGGAATGATTATGACTGGAGATGTGTGTGACTTGATGGTTTTGGGGAAAGGTTATGGAGGTCTGCGCTGCTCTCGGGCACTGGGCCCAGCAGGGGTAGAATACAGGAGGAAAAGAGATTACAGAGGGGGGAATGGGTGGGTAACAGAAAGAGGAAACGAGAAAATTGTGGTTTCAGGGGTTTAAATATGTTGGGAAACGGGAAGGGGTGTAGCTCGGGCCACGTCTTGCACCCGAACTTCAGATACAGTAATTTTATTATCTCCATTTATTTAATGGGGTGATAAAGATTAGGTTTGGGAGGCCAGTCCTGGTCCTCGAGGGCCACCACCCTGCTGGTTTTCCAACTACTCCTGCCCACTGCCGATTACCTGGATCAGGTGTGCTCAGTCAATCAGGAGCTGGGAGCCACCATGTTTGATGAAGGTGGAATGAAGAACGACAACGTGAATTGGCATCAGAGTTGTGTTCCAGAACCACACAGACTGAGGTGACAGTAATGATGGAGGAATATTCAGCCTTTCATTGTGAATCTCCTGATAAAGACGTCCTCCTCTCTCAGCTTCTCTCTGGGAGGGAGGATACCGCCTGTGGGTGCAGCTCCAGCTCTTCATGGACCGGTGCCATCGAGCTGAACCAGTGCCACGAGGATGGCAGCGGCCCGACGCTCTGGTTCTCCTGCCAACAAACTGCCGGTGGAAAGGCTTCAGTACACTGCTCCAAGCTCGAGCTGCTTAAATCGCTCACATTATTTGTGGCTGTAAAGAGGCTCAGCAGAAACCGGAGGGGTGTCGGCCGCTTACCTAGTAATTATGAACTCCAGAAAGTCTTTGAAAGAAGCACGGACCGATCCTCACTTCCCTGGCCAACAGAACTGTTAAAAGGCATCGGCTGCCAACCTGCGGTCCTATTTCTTCCAGCACAGCTCCACCTCTGCAGACTCGACACCCAGTGAACGCTCCGCTCCATGAACACGGGGACAAAATGTTCTTCAAGTTCAGGGCCAACAAAGTAACTCAGTCGAAAACACAATTCTTCTTCTTCTTCTTCTTCGCTGCCTCCACTCGTCAGCACAGGCTGTTCCAGAGTTTAATTATGGGTCAGTGAGGAAGGGAAATTAATTTCAGGCAGCGGAGGAGTTGCGGCGTCAGGCTGACAGGGGCCCCAGGGCCGCAGAGGTGGGTAGGGAGCCAAACGCTGTGGCAAAGTCTGAAGTCATCATGCAAAGGGTAGCAGTCAGAAACGATCAGAGAGCGCCGGACAGTCGACTGGAAGTCAGTCAGAGCCGCAGCGGCGTTTCTGGCATCGCGGAATAAACTGAAATCCAGTCTGACAGACGCACTTCAACTTGTGCACAACTTTCCTCATCTGACCTTGTGGTGCTGAGGCCATGACAAGGAAATGTGGAATTTTGTTCTTTCATTTTGTAATTTAAATTTCATTTGTAATGAATTTTATTGTCTTGTTTTTTTCCAAAACAGAAAAGACATTCAGTTTAATAGGATGTAAAAGAAAAATCAGCTGGAGACCTGGGTGCAGCACTGTTTTTCTGTGGGTACATGAAATTCTTCATTGGCTAAAGAAATGATCCAAATAGAAATCAGTTGTCAGCTATTTTTTCCCAGTATCTGATGATTAATTGACTAATCGCTGTGGTTCTAAACCAGCTAATCCAAGTAGTCTGTCTGTAAAAGCAAATTAAGACACAGTGAGTTTATATAATTTATGCATTTCTGAGCAGAATGTTGGCAGGACAGTAACTGTTTTCAAATGGTGAGGTGGAAAAGATGCAATGTCTGGATCAGTGGTGGGCTGGAGGAGGAGCAGAGGGTCCATTTAAAGGGAAATGTCACTGGTTCCGCTTTAATCACCCCTTTGTCTTCACACAGAGCTCAGTCGCAATCAGAGGCAGCAACAGCTGGACCAAGGCAGAAAATGAGTAAAAAACAGCCAAGCGAGGGCTCCCTGACCTCCAGCCATCAGCTGGATAATGGAGGTACAGTCCCATTATTCTTATCCCATCGCACTGTAAAACAGAACATGATGAGAAGACAACATTTAAGGGGCCACAGACTTCAGTAAGTTCATCTTAAGGTTTTAGTTTATCCAACTTGACTCACTCTGAGTTAAAGCAGTGAATTATTCCACATTATCACACGTGTCAGCCCTGCAACAGACTAGTGACCTGACCAGGGTGGACCCCGCCTCTCGCCCAGCGTCAGCTGGGATTGGCTCCAGCCCTGCAACCCTGTTCAGGAATAAACGGTGTAGATAATGGATGGATGGACACGTCAGATAGTTGCTTCTATTAATTTACAGAAAAGTAAAGGAGCTCACAGCTGTGTGCTGGTTTACAAACCGGGACTCTTTAATTTGTCTGCTTGTCTGATCAACACTGTGACAATAGTTACAGTACAGGATCATTGTTCTTCAGTTTGAATGGGCCTAAACATGGATGGTACAGGAAGTCAGACACGCACCTTGCTTCATCATGGTTGTTACTGCTTTAGAAGGAAGACCCTCTCACTCGTCTGATACCTGATACCTGATATTGTAATTAATTGTAATTGGGTGTAATTTGGGGGCGACAGTGCAGCAGTGGGTAGAGCAGTCGTTTCCCAACCACAAGGTTGAAAGTTTTAACTTGTTATGAAATGATAAACACAAGTTAACACAACGTTCACAGTTTGTAACAAATCACAGATTAGGACTCAGAATAACAGGAAGTAAAACAAGCTTGATTTCTTGGAAAAAATTTCAATTTTTGCCTGAATCGCTGATAATGTAAGTTAAGTCCCACCTGAGTGAAACTGGAGCCATGACAGGAGGCAGGATCTTCCTGGATGGTTTTCCCAGTGATCAGACCCTCCACACACCAAGCTGCTGCTGCTGCTTTGCTCTGGTTCGCAGACAAACATGTGTTTAAATACTCAGACTGTCAAAAGACTCGAAGCTGATCTGAAACAACAGCAAGCTGCTCCAGGAGGAAGAGGTTCAGAATGAGAATAAACCCAACCACACTCCGCCGAGTAACTTTTGTGTAGAAGTGAGGCTGTTCCTCGGCCGCCTCGGTTAACTAAAGGCCGTTTGATGCTTTTCACGTGTCTGCAATCACACAGTGCAATTTTTGTCATCTCCCTATGCTCAGTAGGACCCACACGGAGCCTGTGCAGACTGTCTGCACTGTGACTGCACATGCACTACACAGGTAAACTGTGCACCTTGGTTGTTTGCCATCTTTGGTTCTATACGTGTTAAAGGGCTGCTCACACTTTTTGTTGTTGTTAACTTTTAAATGCTGTTCAGCCAGATACAACAAAGAGTGCTGCTTCTTGCTGTCAGGAGGTCACTGTCAGGTTTTCAGGTGTGCATGTGTGGAACATGTTCATGTGCACATGCACTTGATCATAGTATGAACGGAAACCTTACCAGGGCGAGCAGAAACCAAGCACAGCCCTACAGAGTTCTTGTCACGATAATGTCACTTCATTTTAGCACATAACCATATGTCAGCCTTAGTTTATTTGCCATGATTGGATCATCCCCTAATATTAACCAGACACTGCAGAAAGAAACATTAATCGTCCAACATGGCTGCTCAATAGTCGCAACAGACAATATGTGACAGGCAGTGACCTTTAGCATCTCACTACAACTGATTTCATAAGGCCTCTGCAGGACTATGAGACAGAAGCTTCTGTAGTACATGAGGCCCTTTGGCCGTTCTAGCCCGGTGGGTGCAGGTCTTTGGTGTGGAGAGAAGGAAAAAGGTGCGTTGTCACATTTGTCTGCATCACAGAGAGAGAGGTAAAGAGAGTTGGAGGCAGAGAGATGTGCGGCTGTAAAAATAAAAGTCCTGGAAACTTCCCAGCACATTCAGCGAGCTGTTTATTGGGGGGGTGGCGGCGGCAAACGGAGTGTGAAGTGTGTAACAGCATTCCTCTTCCTCTGAGCGTGTGCAGAAGGTGAAGAAGACAGAGGCAAACACAGAAGCTCCAACAACTGGAAGTAAGTGCCAACCAACTTCAGACACTTACACACACACACAGTCTGAGTAGAAACAAATTAGAGGAAAATGAGGGCATTTCCCTCCTCGTATCTTATTCTTCTGTCCTTTTGGCTTCTTTCTAATCTAACCCTGATGCTCGTGAAGGAACACTCATGGACGCGAGTCCCTCAGTTTTACAGGCGAGGCTGTGATTATAGCGATGGGAGTTCAGTGGAACTTTCTCTGCAGTCTTTTTGTCATAGTTTAGCTCCTGCAGGGCTGAAGCTGCTATGGTACCTGTTGCATAAAAACTCAGAGCTGCTGCAGATGAGCATCTAAACTCACTGTATAGAAAGATCAAGTTACAAATGCACAGAAACTCAAATCTGAAAACAGAAACACTGTAAACCCGTGTACAGAGAAGTAAAGTGGCATATGAGCAGATAAACTCATACAGTGCAAACAAACATGAATAACATGCCCGTGTAGACAGGTAAACTAACAACAATTATAATGACACATGGAAGATGAACTCGTAAATAAGGAAGCTTGTATAAGGACAAATAAACCACATTTAAATAAACATGTACAAAGCTGAAAACAGAAACACTGTAAACCCGTGTACAGAGAAGTAAAGTGGCATATGAGCAGATAAACTCATACAGTGCAAACAAACATGAATAACATGCCCGTGTAGACAGGTAAACTAACAACAATTATAATGACACATGGAAGATGAACTCGTAAATAAGGAAGCCTGTATAAGGACAAATAAACCACATTTATCTGGACAGAAGAAATAAACATGTACACAAAGAATAACAACAAATAAACCTGCATATAAACAGAAACTTGTGTACGGACTCCATTATGAACATAAACTCCTGCAAAGAAAAACTCGCAAATAGCTCAAATCATGGATAAAGACAACTGTTCTAATGTACAGTCAGTTTATATGGTTTTACAGTGGAGATAAATGCAGTTAAACTTTCAAACTAACAAAATGACAAACGTCGGACAACTGACAGTTAAACTAATAAATAAACAGATAACAAACCCAACAGTTTAACCCGTGTACAGACTGATAAATAAACAGACACTCATGTATGGACAAGATGCACTCGCTATATGAGCAGAGCAACTCCAGAATAAACCGATTAATTCACAAATATATAGATAAACCCATGTAGGAACAGTTGATGAACCCATCAACACACAAACCAGGAAGTTCCCAAAGCAGCTGATAAACCCCACGGGTGGAAAAACTCACATATGAGCAGAAGAGTATGAACAGAAACACACACACACACTGTAAAACTGCAGAATGGGTTATACCTTAAAAGAGCTGCAGTAATATGACAACAGTAATGTCACATGTTAACTTCAAACCAGCAGTGACTGACTGTTTTAAAGCTGTTTGTATCTGTTGCTGTTGTACTTCTAACACCAGTAGCCACTGGGACAGTAGTAGTAGTAACAACTGCAGCATATGTAACAGCTGTAGCACTGGTCCTAGTATCACGTGTTTTAGTGGAAAGTTTTAGTTTTTTGTGCTGCTTCACCATTTAAAACATGTAAATCAGAAGAAAACCCTGAACACTTGGTGTGTTTGGAATGAAAACAACTAGAACTTAAAGGTTTTAGATGTGGGCACGGTTACAGTTGGAGACAGGCTGAGGCCTGAAACTAAAGGCCGGTGTGACTGCGGTCAGATCTGAAGCTCATTATCATGTTTCATTCACCTCAGAGCTGCAGCATTTGTTTCCCATCCAGCAGCAGTGAGTCATTTCCAGCCTTCGCAGCAGCTGGCGGATCATTTAGCCGACGTCCCGTCCCATCCAGAGCCCAGGCACCGAGCCACAGCCTGTCCAGGTGAGATGAGAACATAAATTCCCTTTAGAGAGACGACTCTTCTCTGCTCTTATGAATTCTGGGTAAAACTTAATTCTACAAAGGCTTTTGGCTGTGCTAAGCTGTGTGGACCAGGCTGCAATCCAACTACACAACCGAAGGTGTAGAACAACACTGTAATGAGACTTTTGAAGCACTTGGTATCTCTCAAAGACCATCTGGATGATAAGTTCACTGAATGATAAAACAGACTTTTAATGTGATTTCCACGTTGCAGCTCTGTTTCCAAATCAAAGGTGTGCCCACAGGAAACAGAAATGAGTGATGCCAGGTATGGTAGCTGATATCAGTGCACAATATTTGATAATTTCTTTGTATTTCAAAGGCCTCATCTTTTAAAAACAGTCAAATAAATAGCAGTGAAGTGAAAGTTTAATATTTTCTCTGAGTTGTTGTAAAGTCGACCACATTGGAAATACTTAAGTACCTTTAGTGCGCTACTTGAATAAACGTAGTCAGTTACATTTCACATAGCATAGCAATACTTTGTTTTATTTTATTTGATTCATGTGTGCGGGGAGCCGACAGGAAGCGGTTTAGCTGGGCCCCAAACTGCCGGACTGTGCAGAACCTCCAGGTTACTTTATTTTATTTGTCCAGAAATTGAAAGCATGCAGAATCGTTCTGTGGTATTCGCCACTGAACAACTTTCTGAGGGATGAACCGGGAGCTGTCTTGGTGTCCATGAAGAAATGAGTCCCTGACCTCTGCTCTGTTTACGCTGCCATGCTAGCTTCTCAGTTTGTAGAAAACAAAAACAGAAAACCACTGGTCTTACCCTTTAAATCCCAAATCCATGTCCTAAATAAAATCCCAAACAACAGACCGAGAAGTCTTACAAAGTCCTGAGGGTTTTTTAACTCCCTGTAACTTCATAAACTCCACGTCTGCATTGCCATGCAGGGTCTTTTTTCAGAGCTGGAGCCGAGCGGCGTGTGGTTTTATTTGTTTATTTATTTTTATTTGACCTTTATTTTACCATGGAAACCTCACTGGAATTAATCCTCCAGAAGAGGGTCCTGGTCAGAGGTTAACGCACATCCAACTCAACTCTCAAACTAATGAACCAGGGCTCGTCCAGCCGGATGGAAAGTGACAGGCCGGCTCCAGCCAGTGCCCTGCTTTGATCCTGGAAACACCACGTCCTGCTCCTCCCCGCACCACTGTCCCATGTCATTTCTAGCACCTCTGTGAGGTCACACAGATTAACCCCTTGTTTCCTGCAGTGGGCTTTAGTTTGAAATTCAATGGAGGGTGAAAGCGTTTTCCAGCTGGGAGTGTGGAGCAGCAGGGAAATGGGTGGGCTGGCCAGATGCATGCTGGGAGTTCTTTTTAACTGGTTTGGAGAAGATCTGGTGTTGACTAAGGAACGCCAAAGGCATTTAAAGCTGAGAAATTTAGCAGTACAAAGTCAACACTGGAGCTGTTTGGAATGTTTTTGTTTTAAGTATGACTTCATTAGCTTCAGAGGTCAGAGGTCAGGTTTACAGCTGTGTTAGATTTTAACTGCATCAGAGGCTTTGGAGTTCAACATTAGAATCTCCTCCTGTTGTTTTAACTTAAAACTCCACTAATCAAACCCGTTTGTGTCAACAATGGCTCAAAGGTAGTGTCAGATCCACGGAGAACTGTCACCTAGTCAGAGGCTTTGCTGTTTGTCTTCCTTTTAGCTCCTAGTTTGGGTTTTGTTACACATTTCCTGTTCTGTTCAGTTTCCAGCAGCCACTGTTCACTACCTGCTCAGCAGCAAACACACACACTGGGAAAAAAGCTGGTCAACACAGTGGGGCGTTTAGCTGCTACCAAGACTTTGTTTCTTTGTGGATGTCTTTATTAAAAAACATTTTTTGTTTGTCTTTCTAGTCGTTTGACTTTCCAACCAGTAACCCAACCATAACTTTATGAGAGCAACCTGAATGTGTTTTGTTTTCACACAGAAATGTCAGAATATGCTGAGTCTCTGTGGACGTATTCTCAATGCTGAGTTTGTTTTTTCTTCATTGCCTTAAACTCTTCATCTCTGCAGGTCGGAGTGACACTGAATATAAGACGAGGATGTGGGCCACAACAGACTGAATGGAAAGCCAACAAATCACCTTTCTTCACCTGAACCCCTGAAACTAGAGGACCCTGCTGATCCAAAATGGCTTCTGTCAGGGTGTATTTGTTGCTGGTGGTGCCGGTCGTCTGCAGTGGGAGTCTGATCGTGGTGAACTCGGGTGTGGAGGTCAGCAGGGGTCGCTCTGTGTTTGTCACGGAGAAGGAGCTGAAGATTGACGTGGATCCGACCTCTGACTGTAAGGTGGAGGTGGTGATGAACGAACCCATCACTCAGAGAGTGGGGAGGCTGACTCCACAGGTGAGGACACACCTGCTATAACCAGGAGAGTCTCATGTCCATCAGCTGATGGTGTCTGGGAGATGAATGAACCCGTAGGTGGTTTCAGTTCTGCCGTTTGTTCTGTGCTGTGTGCAGGTGTTTGACTGCAGCTTCCTGCAGGATGAGGTGAAGTACGTCCACAATGGCAGTCCTCTGCTGGACGAGGACACGGTTCTGCTGAGAGTCTTCAGGTCAGTTAGCAACAGTGAAGTGTTAGTATTGGCAGCAGCTTGGTAGTATACTGTTATGTTCACATTATCACACGTCGGCATTGATGTGTATGTGGTGGAGCAGCAAAGTGTGCTGGAAGTTCAAATTTGTTGAGCTTTGACCCCAGTTACTCTGACCTTTGTGCGTGCAGCCAGTTATTGTTGACTACTGCTTGAACCTGACAAGAATCTAATTAGCCTACTCGTGTTTCTGAATTTTCCAAATTGTACAGTAACATATTATCCTCGTATCCAGACCAGACAAAGACAGACAACATATTTAGTTAGAGAAATATCAGCAGGTAAGGGCTGCTATCAGGATTATTATAAACAACGGTTTGAGCCTCTAGCTAAGTCAGCATTGTGGCTATGGTGGCACCGTTTTGACCAGTGCTCCTCCACCACCGCGAACAACAGCTGTAGTTGTTGTGATAATAAGTACAACTAGGTGTCACTAAAACAGTTAATTATTATGTAATTAATCTGAGAAAATGTAAAATACTTGTAGGAGCTCATGGATTTTGTTTTTCACAAAATTTTCAGCAAACAAAATACAAACACGCAGATTAATTTAAAGGGATTATAAAGATCCAGAAGTTGTTTTTCCTGCTGCAGTATTACAACAATTACTGCAGTTTTCAGTAGAAATATAGACCGATCATTTGTGGTCCATCAAGACATTGTTAGAGATCCATATCGGCTCAAATAAAGCCAATCAAAAGCACATCTTTCTTTAATTTTACTCGCCTTCCATGTTTCATAACCAAGAAAATCCATATTAGAAAGCAAAAACTAAATGCACAGAAATCCAAATAAGGTTCTGCTCATGCACCAAAGACCCTTACATTAATCTAAAATAATAAAGTACAGTTTTACACTTCATATGATGAGTTTATAATCAAGTTTCCTCTGTTTAAAAATATCTGCATTTTTAAAAGTCTTTTTCTTTTATATTTTCACTGTTGAATCTGACCTTGTAGACCTGTAGTCTTGTCTCTTGTGCTTCATGGAGGACGGCAGCAGTGATGGAAACCATGGAAACCTTTGGTGGATTAGATGCTTCTGTTGAAATAAGCTATAAGTGTTTGGAACAATATGTTAAATTTGTAAGAACATTATTCTAAAGACACTTTTCTAACATGATGCGTTCTCTCTGCGTGGAGGTTCACATCTTCAGACACACTGGTTGAGATGGTGGTTCTGCTGGTGCGGGTGGTGGACTCAGGGCCCGGTGCGGTCGCATTAGGCAGCGCTCCCCTAGTGGTTCCTCAGTTCTATGGCCTGTCCAACACCATCGACAGTGCCGTATTGAACATCACGACCAGAGCCGACCTGCTCTGCACCGTCAGGCTGATCACCACCGACACCAGCGTCCCCGCTTTGGGTCGGCTGGTGACGGAAGAGGACTCCATACAGAGGAAGGGTACGTCACACATGGGCACACTACAGCAGTGATACACAGCCACAGAAAACAGCGGGTTGTTGCTGCTAAAATCAGAGCTCAGGTACAGTCAACCACAGGTAACAACAGTCCTGATGCTGTTGTCTGTTAACCTGAGGTGTCAAAAGTACAAGCTCAGCTGTAGGTGATGATTGTGCTGCTATGCACAATCACAATGAGTTAAACTGGCTTCAGACACACTTTATAACATCAAGGTGGGTTTAATGTGGATAGTGAGGATGTTGGCTCCCCTAACAAAATGTTACAAACTCAACTGATGTTTTATTTGAACACCAGAGAATTAACTTGTTCACTTTGTCATGGAAACCTTTCTACAGATGTTTAGGATGAGAGCTGAAAAAGTTGAAGAAGGGGATTTGCCTTTGAATCTTTTATTCTTTGCAAAGAGGAGCATACAGTCAAGCCTCAAAGAATCAGACAGGGTCTGTGTGTTTATAAAATCACTTTCCAGACAGGAAGACAAGGAGTGTGCACCAAAGAGGAAACTGGATGCAACTGAAGGTCAAGTTCATGTCCTAACACCTTACAAGGAAATCATACTTTTCTGCATAGCAGCACAATCATCACCTACATCTGAGCTTGTACATTTAACACACAACTTCTAGGAGCCTGAAAGTAAAGCAACGGGGAGCAGGAAACATCACCGTATACAGAACTATCATTCTACGTATTACTGCTTTTAAATATTCAATGCAAAATGACCACTACATTTCATAGGTATGCGACCTTCATAGGTATCTTTCAGTTAGGCCCATACAGTTAACCTGTGTAGACAACAGGCTGTGTGTGTGTATCAGTAGAGACTAGGTGTGTGTGTGTGTGTGTGTGTGTGTGTGTGTGTGCGCGTGTGTCGTCCTCCTGCAGGCAGAGAAACGACAGCGCTCTGTACCGGAAACAAACCCTGTCTTCACCACACCAAGGAGGTTAATTTCCTCAAAACCAGCTGCCAGGACTTTCTGAGCTCCGGGCTAAAGTACCAGCACCTCAGCCCTCCATCACCGGAGATCGACTACATCCCCATCAGGGTGGAGCTGCGGGAGCAGGCCACCAGGGCCCTGCTGGAGGTACAGGAAACATTAAAGGACTAACCTGGAATAAATAAAGTAACAAAAGGAGAAAAATAAAAAGCGGTGTTATTCTTATACAGCAGCTGCACCTCTTAGACGACAGTGTAAAAATAATGTGTTGCAGGAAAACAACTTTTAGACAGAAGCAATTAAAAGTGCTTTAATTGTACAAAGTTGATAAACTGCAGATTCTGTCATACCCAAATTGGATGTGCATGTTATCCAGGCAAGATCAGCCACTCAGTTGAGAGTTTTTGGCAGTAAGAAGGTGATATCACACTCTTGTGTACTGTTCTCAGCTCTGTGGATGTGGAAGGGTGTGGAGCAGGAGGTTCTGCAGGGTTTTTCAAAAATCCTAAAATGTTGAAAGCATTTCTTCTCTCCTTGTTAGCACATAAACAGTGTCTTTCTTACAAAGGCCTGTCATTTTTAACACATCTGATTGTCTGTTCTGAGGCATCACTTGCTTACTCTTCAACACTACATATAAACAGCAGAACACATGGCAACATGTGTTGATTTCTGTGTGTTAAAATGTACATGTGTCACTGAAGAGACGCAGAAAATGTGAAAAACTATGGGACAGGGTCTGCAGGGTTTTAAAAACTCTTAAAAAGCCTAAAATCAAATAATCTGAATTTTAGGTGCAGGTTTAATGAAGCCTGGACTGAAAATGTTCAGTGTTTGGTTGAAGCCTGTTCAACACAACAAATTCAAAGCTGCACCATGTGTGACAAAACGCTGACATTAGGAACTTTGGGTACAAGAGCATTGGAGTCGCAGTGAAAGTCCAAGAAATACCAGCCTCTGTTAAAAGCCTCCAGCAGCCGCCTGCCATCAGACAGTAATGTTGTGCATTAACGTGGGGAGCGTCACCACAGCCCTGGTTTGACCTGCTCTGCACCGCTAACACACCTCCGGACAAAGCCTCTGTCTACAGCAGCAGAAAACACCGAGGTGCTGTGGACTTTACACACTGCAGCTAAAACAGAGTCCATAAATCACTGGCAAAGTAATTTATTAATATTCAACAGCAATATTCAGCTGATATTTGAGTGCTTCATACTTTTTTGCCAGTTTGGATGTGAAATAGGTCTTAAATTGTATTTCAAAGTGGTCAAACTTCACCGGAGGAGACCTGCATAAATCCTGAATGGAAAACAATGTAGAAGTGAGAAACATGCCAACTTTACCTTTAACCATTACTGTTACCCCACTTCCAGTCAGAAGCGGTATGGTTGCCGGTTCTGATCCATGGCGCGATGCCAAACCAACCGCCCCAAGCTGCTTTCATGGCCTCCTTCATCCTGGAGGTGGACCAGTTCATTCTCACCCCTATCACCACTGCCACCCTGGATGCCAAAGACCACGAGACACCACAGGAGAGGCTGGTCTTCAATATCACCGTTCAGCCTACTGAGGGCTTCATCACCCACCTGGATGACCACACCAAGCTGATCACGTCCTTCACCTGGCTGGACCTCCACGAGATGAAGGTGGCCTACCAGCCGCCCAATAGTAGCCAATCACAGCGCAGGAACTATGAGGTACTGGAGGTGATAGCTGTGATAAAAATAGGCTTACAACATAAGTTTATCCTCAATGCATGGTGTATGTGAGAAATGCATCATCGTGTGTGTGTGTGTGTGTGCCAAAGCCAGTTTCACACTATCGTAGGCCCCAGTGGTGGCAGATCTGGATGACACATCACACCCAGAAGAGTTTAATAAAGTGGCAAAATCACTTTTTCCAAGAGGTAGCAGACTGTCATGACAGTGCTTAATCTACTTATCTTGAAATCAATAACACAAATCAAACAGTTTGATTGGAGCTACAAATGAACTGTTTTAGGCTTAACTGAAAAGTTATCTAATCAAACTTGCCCGCTAAATGAATGGTTGGCTAACCTGATTCAAACAGTTTGATCTAAACTAAACCTTAGCTGGTTTGAACCAAACTTTTTCCGACTACCATAACTGAACAGATAGCTAACCTGATTTAAGCTGTTTTAGCTACACAGTTGTTAAAACCGGTAGCTTAGCTAACCAAATTTCTGTAGCTGATAAGGTGAACTGTCAAGGCTATTCAATTTTAATTGCTGCGTGATAGATTTAATAAGATACAAAGATTATTGAGCTTGACAATAGTTTGTCAAAAATAGGTTTAGTTGGGTTAATCTTTAATATTTTTCTGTTAAGAAAAAACAAACAGCGTGTTTGTAATGAGCTGATCTAAACTGGACCAGTATGTTAAAACTAGGTGAAACCAGAACATGTCTAGGCAAGTCAGATTTCTGTAACTCTTTTTTAAAACGTATCTAATTTGCATGCTTGAAACTACCATATTAACCTGTAATGACAAAGTGAATACATGTTTTTACAGCCTAATGTTTTTATCAAGAAGATTCAAGGTTGAAATTGCTGCCAACGAGCTTCTACAAAATTAGAATTAGAATTAAGGGTCGGAATTCTCCGTCAACGAGAGGTTTCAGTGTTTTATTTGCAAAAATGTCAAGACATTTCCACTTTGTCATTATGGGCGACTGAGTGTAGCTGAGGAGCAAAATGGCAGTTGTAGAACTCAAAGTGTGCATAAGTGAGGGGGTGTGAATACTTTCTGAAGACACTCTATATCTAGTAATATTCTGTTAATCTGTCTTCTTTAAGGTTGAGTTCCAGGCTATAGACGGCTCCTATATGACCAGCCCGCCCATCACGGTCCATATCTCCATCAGAGCAGCCGAAACACACGCACCGAGAGTGTCTTGGAACATGGGTACGTAGAAATATTACAACAGAGTGTAATACGCTGGTACAAGTGTTTAAGTAAAGGTATGCAAGTATAATCAGGAAAATGTTCTTAAAGTATTGACAGTAAAAGTATTCAGTGTAGAAAAATGTCCTGTGTGACTGTTATAGTATTATATATCATTAGAATACTATTACTGATGCATCAATATGTGTTAAAATTCAGAGATTTTACCCTGATTTTCATCTTTTATCTGTGGTGTTTCAGGTCTGGACCTGTTAGAGGGTCAGTCCCGAACAATCACATGGGAGGAGCTGCAGATCGTCGACAACGACAACATCGATGGTGTCTACCTGGTGGCTGTGGACGGGCCTCTACACGGGCGTCTCAGTGTCAGAGGTGAGGGGTCAAAGCTCACTGGGTCCCTGGGCTGGTTTAATGTATTTAATCATAATCTGAACGAGTGAAACGTTTGTCCAGGTTGAATTTCTACACAATGAACGCAGCGTCTCGTTGTTCACTTCTGAACAGTGTTCTGCCACTGTGTTGCTCAGATAGTAACCGTGTTGCAGTGTTAGTTTCCATACAAGAAAATGAGATTGTGACTCTGACACAGTAGCTCTGGTAGAAAAAGAAACAAAAGTCAGCGGTTATATAGCAAAAATAAAAGGGGAAACGGAGATGACAGGTGGGGGACAGAATAAATGTGTGTGGGTGAAAGGCCAGAGGTGGAGGACGATTCAGTTACATGACCCACCACACTGACGAAGAGATGACTTCACCAAACCTCTGTTAGGACTGCAGAGCCTCCTCTGCCTTAAGGTTAACGCACAGAGTTCAGTGTGAGTGATGAAGCTGCTGTGTAAACATGTTCATGGTGAGACAGTCTGTGAACAGATGATTCTCAGGCTCCAGACACTTTGTTACAGCCTGTTTCGTTTCAGCACTAATCGATTTAAGACAGTCTCTCTGCAGGGCCATATTTTAATCAAAACTTTTAGGAAATCTGAAGGACAGCAAAGCAATTTATCCCAGTGTGTTCCTGATTTCAGCACATCCACCGGGTGTAGACTGGTGATGGAGACATCTATGCATATGTAGTGTCCTGATGGAGCTGAAGGCCCACAGTTTGCGTGTCCTCAGAGGAATCATGTGTCCTTATTCTTTGGTCCTTTGATCCCATGCTGGCATTCCGACACACACTGCCCTGGGAATTCCCAGAGACGTCATCTGGCCTTTTCCGCCCATTTTCCTCCATGTGTTGCCCATCCGTCTGGGACTGTGGTGTGGCTGGGGAAGCATATGTCTAGTGGCCCTGCATGTGTTTCCTAATCCGGTGTAAAATGGGGCTGCAGCCACTTTGCCAGGGGCCGTGGCAACGCCGAGGCTGCGTCCACTTCTGTCCCTTCCAGTCCGGAGTGAAGGGAGACGGCCTCTTTGTCTCAAATGAGGAGCGCGACCAAGCATATTGGAGGGACTTAGCCATTTCACGCCACCGTGCACAGGGAGCAGATGCACTGTGCTTTAACAGAGGGAAGTTCAGAGGGAGAGGAAGGTGTGTTTCCTATGCTGGTTCTCAGGATGGTTTCATCATGTTTGTGCTAGTCAGGCTGATATTTACGTCTCTAGTTCAGACACATTCAAAGGCTTGATCACGGCTTGCAGAGGCACCGCGCCGCGGGCTCTCACTGAGGCTGTCTGTGCTGGGACATCACCTCACCACATGAACACACTTTGAGTGGAACACAAACCTCTCTGGGACTAAACTTGCTCCTTCTGCTGTCACTACAAGCCTTAACAAAGAGCAGACCCATGATGCGCCCTATAGGGTGAACAGCTTTTTGGCTTGTGGCCCCTTAAACTGTATCAAATTTTAAATGTTCCTTCTCTGATTATTTCCATTTTTAGAGATATGAGGAATAAAAGATTTGGGCTGTGAGACAACAAAAAAATCTGAAGATGTCATCTTGGGGAAGTGTGTCTCAGATTTTCCCTAATTTTCTGATATTTGACAGATGAATAAATAAAAAATGAAATAATCTGCAGCTCACTAGAGTTACAGTAAAATAATTCTTAGTTGCAGCCTTTTGCTGCCGACAAACTACATTCCTCTTCTGCTGCCATTTGCTACTTTAAGCCTCCACTGGAAAGACCAAAAGTAAAAGTGAGAGAGGGTGTTGAAGGTGTATGTAACTGCTTCATTAATCCTTTAAAATATCTTTAGTTGGAAACCCTGATGTGCAAAACTGTAATGGAAACACAACTGTGATCCTCTGCTGCGTCTCACACGTTTCCTGTCTCTGCTCTCCCATGAAGCATCCCAGAGACCCAGAGAAACACTAGTTGGATGGTTGTTGAAACATCTGTCCCACTAGGCAGGTCCCCCCCCCGTGTTGGACTGCAGCACCTGCTCTGGCATCATTTGCTGTCCTCAGTTTGGACTCCCGTGCTGACCGGAGTTTGGCTCTGCTCTCCACACATGTGAGTTAGTGGATCCTCTGGCGGAGCCGTGTCTCTGAGGAGGAGGATGCTGCTGACCCTCGATGCTCAGGGGCGACGATGCCGCAGTGTGGGGACAGTCACTGCAGGCTCCGTCCAACGCCTTCAGCCAAATGGAAGGCTGCCTGTCCCGCCACACACTCCTCGTTCTGTATCAAACACACACGCAGATTTCCCTTTGTGGGCCTGTTGCCCAACGCCACCTTTGGGCCCAATTACCAAGTTGTTTCTATCACTTGGACCAGTAGCCGGTTCCCTTCGGTAAAGTTGCTAATGAGGTTCAGGCTCACGACCGCTCGTCTCTCAATCTGTCTGCTGACCTTGCCCTTCTGTCTCTCTGGCACACACAGGGAGACAGGAAGCCCCCATCCTGGCAACCGGGCGACCACCGGGAAGGACGCCATCTTTTACCCCACCAGTGTTCACAGCACAAACCCCAGCTAGCGCCTCGCAGTGCCTTCAGGTGTGAAGAGAAACTTGTTATTTCCAAGTGACAATGGGAGAAAAACACAGTGCATGTGTTGGAGATGGTAATTGAATCAAAGTGTGAAGCTTTGGCTGGAAACCGAGCCGTCCGCTGACAACAACACGTGCCCACCAGTAGGCCGCCAGTCATGTGACGCTATGCCGTTAGCGTTGTGTGGAGTGTGAGGAAGGCCAGCCAGCAGAGAGATGACAGATGGCCACGGCCTGCGTTTCATTAATGTAGGACAGAGGAGTTTTCATCTTCGGTCCAACTCCAGGCTCCTCAACTTGTGTCTGAGGCAAAAACAAGCCGTTTGGAGTCGAATTTATTGATACGAAAAATTGTTGTTCTGTCAAACTACAGCAGCAAAAACGGTTTGTTGTTAACTTTTCTGAAGTGTTTGTCCAAGTAGACATAAATACAAACATACACATTTCAGTCAATTATTGGATTGAGAGCCAAGTGATTGGGTTCTAATCAATAGATTATCAGTAAGAATACATTTCCTATAATAATATTGTACAGTTTAACATAAGTTTGTAAAATCACAGTTGTCCCACTGCTATGTGCAGATCAAAAACCTATTGTAATTATATGATTACATCATTAAAGTACAGTCCAAATAAAGTAATTAAAAGTAACTAAATGATTTTCAGTTGGTCACTCATATGAAAAGTCAAAATCATGTTTTATTATGTTTAATTTGAATTTAATATTTTTCATAGTTTAATTTCATGTCTGTGGTTTTGTTGTGTGGCATGAGTTAGTAATTTGAGCAGTTATCCTCCTCTCTGCCACCTCCCAGGGGCCCAGTCAGGGTTCAGGTGGGACATAATCTCCTGCCCGACATTACCTTTACATGTCAGGCTTCAGTTTACCTGTATGATGCGTTTTCCAGGTGGGAAGGCGTTCATGTTCCGTGTGCAGGACCTGAGGGAGGGCATGGTCGTCTACCATCACTCTGACAGTGACACCACCCGTGACCACATCATCTTCCGCATCAGTGACGGCCGCCACAGCATACGTCACAAGTTCCCCATCAACATCCTGCCCAAAGATGACTCTCCACCCTTCCTCATCAACAATGTGGCAGTGGAGGTGCAGGAGGGCGGTGCGGTGCAGGTGGAGGAGTACATGCTGTTAGCCTCCGACTTGGACTCCAGTGACGACTACATCCTCTACCAGATAGTCTCCAGCCCCCGGGCTGGCCAACTAGTCAGGAAGACCTCCACCCACGAGACAGGTGAGGGTGGTGCACCTGATTTGGTTTGACTGCAGAAATGCAAAAATACACAATATGAATGAATATATTTTTATTTGGTTCCACTAGTTTGGTTTAGTTCAAAGGTCAAAGATCATGACTGCAGACAGCAGGTCTGCGCATGTGTGGTGGTTTAGGACATTTTGGCACATTCTGGTGTTCACACAGGAGTCAGATACACGTCACACATGGATGTGACGCATCGACACAAAAAGATCACATCAATGATGAAACATCAGAACTGAGCATTAAGGCCTGGGATGGCAACGTGGTCCACACAAACTAAATGTGTTTGTTACAGACTGAGGTTTAGTGTTGATGCTCATGCACCTGCTGTGTTGGTCCTGTGCAGGAGCGGCAGTGGACAGTTTCCTGCAGAGAGACCTGCTCCAGGGTCAGATCTACTACCAGCACTCAGGAGAGGAACAGTTTGAAGACTCCTTCGACTTCACGCTGTCTGACAGCCACCAGCCGCCCAACCTCTCCCAGACATATGTGAGTCCATCGCTTGCACTGGTTTGGGAAAGTGGTGAAGTCCCACTACACATACATAAATATACAGAAACCTTCCTTGTATCGTATTGTATCTCGCTGACCCCTCTCTTCCCTGTGTTTCCAGACGGTGGTGGTCCATGTTTTCCCCGTGAAGGACCAGCTGCCAGTGGAGGTCTCTGGCAGTGTTCGCTCTCTGACGGTGAAGGAGACGGAGGTGGTTTATATCACCGAGGCTCACCTCCACTTCATAGACAGAGAGCATCCAGAGACTGACCTCACCTACGTCATCACTCAGCCCTGCTTCAGCCCCCTGCATCCTGGGTAAGGACAGGGCTAGAGACTCCTGCAGACCTCTTCAAGGAGAAACATGCTTAGCCTAGCTTAGCAGAAAGACTGGAAACAGGGGGAAACTGCTAGCCTGGCTTCAACAAAACAGAAAAATACACTTAATATAAACTCTAAACTCTGCACAGTTTACACTTTTAATTTGCGCTGTGCAACAGAAGCAAGTTGTGCAGTAAAATGCAACCTTCTTCTTCTTCCTTTTTCAGGCTGATGGATGCAGGGCGCCTGTTCTACACAGACAGCACCAACACCATGAAGAAAGACCACATGGTGCCCATACTGAAGTCCTTCACACAGGTCTGCAGCACTCAGAAACAGACTCACTGCATCCACACATAGACAGGTAGCAAGATCCTGAAAGCTGAACTGTGCTGTGTCCTTACCAGGAGGTTTACCACATGCTGTATTTTCAACTAAATGATCAGATAACTGACAAGAGTCTCCAGTGTCCATTTAGCAGTTTTCCTGGAGTTTTTTGCTCTTTATGATTCAGATGTTTTTCCCCTCCACAGTAAACAAAGCAGAATCAGAAACGACGTCATGTTCTTGTGCTGACTGAGTAATTATAGCTGCTGTATTGCTAAAGGCAGCAGGTGGTTGCTCACATGTTCAGAGTGGCAGCTATGGTGTTGCTCAACATTTGTGAAGGTGTTGCATGGCTGCTAAGATGTTAAAGTAGGTTCAGGTTGCTAACCAGACAGGAAGTTAATACAGTTTATTAAAGAGGTGTCTGTACCATCAGCTCGTCTCATTTGCGGAGCAGGGCTGAATAAAAGTTGATGGTGCATACAGATAGTAAACTACAATACCGCCATGCAGTTTACACTCCCCACCTCTGTTTCCTCAAAACGCACATCTCCATATTTGGAGGATGTTGCAGTAGCATAGAGTAACATGTAAGTGTGTAGGAAATGAGAGGATTTGTTTTGGTTTGAGGAAGAGATTATCTGAGGTGGTCCTCTCAACAGAGGTGGGTCATGAAGCGATATGTGAAGACAGATTCAGCAGACTACAACTGAAGAAGCACACCGGAGAAGATTCTGGGCTGCCTTACAGTGACCGTAGGACTAGTCATCGTTCATTTTTAGATTGTAGTGAATGAGAAGTTTCACACGGCTGAGTGGGGGAGTTCAGGCATAGCAGGTGGGTACAGTGCAGGTAATGAAAGGTGGAGTGATGTGAGCTGTCTTTGGCTGGTTAAAGACCAGATGTGCTGCATGTGCAACTGAAGTAGATCAGATGATCGTACTTATTCCAGTGAAATTACTGATTTCAAAATGTTTGCAGCTTTATAATGTGAAGAGTGTTTGTGTCCTTGGTTCTTCCTCCAGCATGCAGTGAACCACAGGAAGGTGGCCTTCATGCCCCCAGTAGAAGACATTGGCCCGCAGCCGCTGTTTGTCCAGTTCATCTTCTCCGTCAGTGATCACCACGGTGGCACCATCTCTGGCCTCCTCCTCAACATCACCGTCACTCCGGTGGACGACCAGGCACCAGAGGTAAGAGGTCAAACAGAGATGGAGCTTCTTATTATCATATGAGTCACATCTGCCCAGTTCATTAAAGTGAATGCTGGTTTATGACCCCTGTCGGTTGGTCCCCTGGCTCCTAGGCCTTCACCAACCTGCTGCAGGTGGAGGAGGGTGGAGGAGCCTTTGTGACAGAGGGGCACCTCCTGGTCCAGGACCGGGACACCAGGAAGGAGGCGCTGAGGGTGGTGGTTCAGAGGACGGCTCTTCACGGCTGGCTGGAGCTTCAGGGCCAGACGCTGTTGCAGGGAGACACGTTCACCCTGCAGGATCTGAGAGGACTCCGACTCAGGTCAGACAGGAAGTGTGTGTATGTGTTTGGGTGGGGTCATGCTCCTGCACACCGGTCTTTTCTCTGGGCCTGTTTGAGTTGTAAGCCTGGACAACGTGGACTTTTAGTCTGGTCTTCGTGTCATACTGATACTGTTTTATGTAACCCACCTATAAGGTAAGGGCCCTGAGTTCAATTAACTTACAGTAACTATAACTGATGAATGTTAAATCTCTAATAAACCTCTCTACATTATATGCCCTTAGGTCCTATGAGTGCTGTATACAATCAGCGAACACGTGTTAGAGTTAACCTTTCTTCATTTACTAAACAGAAAAATCAGGGTAAACCATAAAAAATAACAATCCCCCTTTGACCCCTCTTCTCCGTGAGACACACGTTTCAGTATTTCAAAATAAACACACAAACCTAGTGGGCCCACACACCACACACACTCACTCTCCACCAGCTGCATATACACTGAAGTTTAACCCCCGTTCCAGCCTGATGGACACTCAGGTGCACTGAGGCCAAAAACTAAGCAGCTGTTTCACTCATAAGAGCCAAATAAAAAGACAGTACCTTACTTAATAGTTCGCAGTCAGAGACTGAAGTCTACCTCCTCCGTGTGTCCAAAGAAATGGCAAAAGAGTCTCAGTAGCCCTCTGATGGCCAAGTAGTCACAAATCCTCAGGAACAGGTACAAGCATAGGGTGAGCGGGAAGGTCCGGGGGAGCTGGAAGGTCCAGGGGAGCCGGCTCTGTTGTACCATCTAACTGGTCACTCACTGTCTCTAATAATGTCCTGGTCGGAAAAGATAAATCCAGTCTTGGCAGTAAGCAGAGTTAGCTATACTACCAATACCAACATTCATTTAGCTAAGGAATGCTAACAAGTTAGCTAGGTATGCTATGAGACTAGACACAACAACACTACACAACTGCAAGACAACTCCGTCCAGAAGAATATCCAGTGTGTACTCCAAATTATGTAGGACAAATATCTTACCCAGATCCTCCAGTTGACAATCTAAGATACAGTCCACATACTCAGCACATTTCAAGTCTGCATAAACTCTTTTTCCTTCTCGTTCACCAAGTTACCCCCGCCCCGTGTCCTTTTTCTTCTTCTCTCCTTTCCCTGGATGTCACTACCTTTACCAATGGATGACCATGAATGATATTTTACACACACCTCCTTGAACCTTCGAAATAACATGAAATAAATCACCCTAAAGCTTTTAACCATATTCATCTGATGTAATCAACTTATTTAAAGTAACTATTGCTCAAAAGCAAACGCACTTTTTAAGGATGTTTAACTATAATACATAGTATTTTTACCCAGGTTATACTTGTATGGCAGAATGTGTGCATTTCATCCATGCTCTAAATGAAGGATAAACACTGACACACACTCTCACACCAATGGGCCAGCCAGCAGGTGCAGCTCAGGGTTCAGTGTCTTGACCAAGGACACCGAACCACCAACCCTCTGGTTAGGAGGCGACCTGCTTTACCTCCTGATCCACAGCCACCATAAGAAAACTGTAGCTGACACAAGAGTTTGGTTAGATCTTAGATTGTCTGACAAAACTCAAGTTAAACATTTTGCTCAAAAATTAAACATTTAAATTGGTTTCCTACACAGAAACAAAACTTGTTTCTCCCTTGAAGACAGGAAAATCCACCATACATTGGACTATAGAGAGGTCCTCTCTGCTCATGCTGTCGCCGCTGGACGCTGTCAACCACAGCGCTGTTCCATTCATTACTGCAGTCAATTATCACTGACTGAGCGAGCAAAAAGGTCAGAGGTCATCACACCTGTGTGCTCATCTGTCAGGGCCTGCTGTCTAAGCGGCACAGATATTTAACATCCTTAGTTGAGTTCAGAAATGATGATGAATGATGAAGTATTATGTATATATGTATTTATGTAGTTTGTTCAAAGCTCACTTGTTTTGATCTCAGTGAGACTTCCTGTCTAAATAAAGCTTCACTAACTAACTTCAGCTAAGGGCTGGGTACTGGGGACGTCACATGGCTCAATTACAGTGATTAGACGCTGCAGACATGTAAACGTCAGCCCACACGAAGCGTTTCCTCTGTACACTGTCAGCCTGGACCTTCTTTCATCGGATTTTAGTGGACTGTGTGTTTACAGAGTCTATGTCCTGCAGCTGAACCCACACAACCAAATCTCAGGAGGAAACACATTCAGTCAGGCCTATGATTCAGAAGGGGGAAGTTAAATTGCAGTAAATGAGTGTGTGCAGCCTTGGTGTGGTTTAACAAACCTCACTGCACATACGGTACATGAAGTTGACTTGACTTTGGATTGTTATCGAAGGAAATGATAATTTCAGTGTGTTATAAAGCAGTGCTTCCTACCTACAGTTGCCTCTGTAGAGCTGTAATGTCTCTGATAGACAGCGTGGCTCACAGAGTCAGTACAAGTAAATACAAAAACAATACAGCAGTTAAAGCCAACAGCTGAGGGACGCAGGCCATGATTTCTTCATGTGTTTGTGTGAATCCTCCCAAAGTGACAGTAACACGGAGTTTGGTGTCCTAACTGTGATGTGTGTGAGTCCAGACCCTGGTCCGGCTCATTGCTCTGCGCCATAGACCTCCACTGTTGTCCACTAGTTATTAACCCCCCGGTGAGCCACACCGCTGTACTGGGGGGCAGGTTTCCTCCTCAGGGAACACGGGAGGAAACCTATGTCCTTCCACTTCATTCCAGATTTGTCATTGTTAAAGTGTTTATGGCCATTATTTATTTTATTGTGTTCACATTTTAAAATGTTTTTCTCTTAATTTTTCTGTTTTGTTTTTATTATTTTTCATTTTTATTTCTGATGCTCATTAGTTCCATAGTCTGACTCTTTACATTTGCATTGTCTTGTTGTCAACAGTAAGCAGTTTAAGTTGCACTGACCTGTGTGAATGTTGTTTTACCAGTAAAGTCTGATTGTGTTGCAGGTACATCCATGACGACTCTGAGACCGCTGAGGATGAAGTTGGGCTGACGGTGACAGACGGTCTGAACTCTGCTGATGTGGTCCTGCCCATACAAGTGAGTTTCCTGCTGCTGTTTCAGTGCAGTATTTCAGTTCAGTACACTTTCCTGGGGTTAATTGTATTAAACTGAAGTGGTGATGGTGTTGAATACTGTTACAAGTGTTAAAATATTTGAGTACTGCCTGTAAGTACCTGGCGAGTCCTCTCCTGCCATCCTCAGGTCCTGCCGATGAACGACGAGCCTCCCCAGCTGGGTGCAGGTCTGCGGGGGGAGCTGAGCTGTGAGGAGGGGGGCCGGGTCCAGGTGACGGTGGACTACCTGTCGGCCACAGACCGGGACAGCGACGACTCCAGACTGACCTACATGCTGGCCCGCAGTCCAGGCAGAGGGGAGCTGCAGAGAGCTGGACTGGCCGTGGACAAGTTCTCCCAGCAGGACCTGCTGCAGGGACACATCTACTACGTCCACACAGGTGAGGAGTTGTCATGGGATACATATGTGCTCGTGATGGGAATACATGAGTTCATTTGCTCATGGGAATGCATCAGTACTTTTAATCCTGCTGCTTGTCAGAGCTCAGTTGTTTCATTCTGTGTCTGTGTGCAGGAGGAGAGATCGGCCCCGAGCCAGTGGTTGACACCGTCACCCTCATCATTTCTGATGGCGAGGCTGGAGGGATGGAAGGCTGTTGCCATGGAGATACCCCGCCCCCGCCCATACCCCTCCATGGCACACTTCCTGTTTATGACCTCAACATCACTGTCCTTCCTGTTGACAACAAAGTCCCCACCGTCACCCTGGGTAAGACGTTTACCTCAGCACCGAGCTGTTGCTCACACTCCTTAGTGCAGCAGAGTAGCCCTGACCCCGACACGCCCGTCACGTGTCAGTCCATCACACACTGCACTGGGTGTGTGTGTGTGGGGGGCTGTAGTAACATACATAACATCTAACACACACAAACACACTCTCACTCCTGGGGAGGGTGACTGTCCTCTCTGAAGTTCGAGTCAAGAAGAGGGTTTTCAGTGGACACCAGTGACCACTGGGACATGTACTGGAATGACTGGGAGATGGTGCATGTGTGAGAGAGACATTATCGGGGCAGGTTTTTGTTTACACACTGCAGAGATTGTGTTTGCTCCTGAGATCTAACAATCATCAGTTTGTGTGAACATGGAACAGGAGGCTGAGATCATTTGACTTCTTTCACTACAAATCAGCTTGGTCCAAGAATTTAGCTGATTTTATTCTTTTACTGTGATTTGTTTCATGTCATGTTTTTTATTTTACAAATATGAAACAAAAAGAAATCGCTTTAATGTTGCAGCTGATAAAGATGGGGTTAATTTTAATGGCGTCTAACACCGCAGCCTAGCTTGTGAATTTCCCCCAGAATCAATGAAGTCTTATCTTTACTTATAATAATACATGATCACTATTAATAACCAGAATCTGCAGCTTAACTATAGTTGTTAAATGGATGTAGTGGAGTAGAAAGAACAAGATCTGCTTCTTTGTCAAGTGAAAGTACAAAGTAAATTTAAAATACTCAGGCAAAGTACAAGTTGAACTTTGCCCTATGAACTAATAGAAAGCATCAGCGAGCTGTTGATTTCATGGTTTGTGTCCAAAAATGTGCCGAAACAACTGGGATTGTCTCTCATTGTGTGGCCAGTAATGATTAAAACCTTAGAAGTCAGAAAGAAATTAAATATATATGTTGCTAGTGTAAGTCGGGCGCGTTTTGCAGGGTGTGTCTGTTGTATGTGAGCAACTGCATCTGCAGTGTTTAGCCCAAGTGTCATTGTTTGCTCATTGCATTGTGGGTGATTTGTGGCCCCTGCATGTGTATGTGTGCTGCTGGTGCGTCGTTTGTGCTAACGAGGTTGGCACTAACGTGCTTTAAGTGAAATCTGCCTATTGTCTGCTGGTCTCACATGCACACATAGATTATCTTCCTCGTGTGTTTGCGGACAATAAACGTCTTTACAAAACGAAAAGAGAAAGAGCCACATCGCCCATTCATAACGTGTGCTAGCCGTCTCGCTGGTCGGATTACTGCGGCAGGATAACTCCTTAATCCTGCCATCATATCCCACCATTCATTCCACCCCGGCACCGCCGAGCGGGGTGGGGTGGGGGTGCATGCAGAGCTTCTTGGTCTAATTAATTAGCAGTGAATAAAGAGACAGAGTAAGAGCATTAGTGCAGTGAAACAAGAGGCTTTACCTTGTTTCTTATTTTAGCGGGATGCTGGTTTATCAGCGGAATCCAGGACTGTCCATCACTAATGTTCACATGCACTCGCACAGTGTACACACACACACACACACACACAGTGGCAGTGTGGACCCAGGAGTGTGTTTGCTAATTAAGAGCAGTGTGACAGAAGATGGATTCATTAGCAGCTGACAAAGAGATGGAGGTGGATGTTCACACAACAAGCAGCCATATTCACTGGTTTCTCTGTTAACGCTCGGTCAGTTGTGTCACAGAAGTGGCTCATTTAACACCAGGCGCCGTCAACCATCATGGTACACACTGATTTAATACCTGAGACGTGAGAACATGGTCACATCACTGAAACGACGTCTGATGGATGAAGCAACACAAACAAGCTGGAAACCAGGTTGTCAGGTTACAGTTGGTGGTTTAACTGGTGTTGCAGTCTGACCATCGAGCAGAGCCTCCTCTTAAATGACGCCTGGTGATCCAGACAAAATAAACTTCAGTCTGTGTGGGATTGAACGTCTCAGCTTCCAGCTCGGCTTAATGCTGCTTTTCACTTATGGCCAAAGACGAAACTGGGCAAAGTCTTGTTGTTGACCTCTGGGCGTTACAGCAGCCAAGGCAGAAAAACATGGATGGCCACAGTAAATGCGCTTTGTTTGGTCGGTCGCTGAGAACCACCATGAACAAATGGTGTGTAAACACCTTATGATAAATTCTTTCATCTGGTTTGTGCTGAAAAATGGCATCATGTCACCACATCATCAGGTAATAAGTCATAAAAACCTTTACTCTCCTCAAACAGGACGTGGTGTATATGTAATATATACTACAGATTTTCAAGATGCACATCTACTGACACTTGACTGTTGTTCTTTTTATCAGTGTGACCCTACTGTGTTTTTAAGCATCAGCTTCATATGAATTTACACTACCACTGGTTAGAAACCACTTTTCCCATAAGATAATATTTTACACACTCATTCAAAGGAAACACTAAGATTTCATATCTTATTTTGGCACCTTTCTTTCGAGGAGTCCCGACCCCCATGTGCCATTTTTACTCCCCACCAATCCCGTCCAGAGACCAGCAGCACCAGTGAGTGTGGCGTCCTCACCGTGGTGTGTGCGAGTCCGGACCCTGGTTTATCACTCTGTGCCGTAGACCTCCACTGTCGTCCACCAGCTATTAAATCCCCCTAGTGAGCCACACCACTGGGGGGCAGGTTTCCTCCTCAGGAATCACAGGAGGCTGTCTGTTTCCAACACACAGCTCTCTACCTAGTCTGCTAGCAGTATAGTCACATGAGTTTGAGGGCACTAACACACCAGTGAAGGGGATTTCTGTTCAGTTCAAGAGGTTTTGAACAGTGGCCTCTAGCTGCCTCACGAAGTTTTCGTGTAACTAAATGACTTGTATCTTGGTGCAGGTGAATCCATGTTGGTGGTGGATGAGGGCTCCTCAGCCTGTCTATGTGTGGGGGTCCTAGGGGCCTGGGACCCGGACAGCCCCCCCAACCAACTGACCTTCCATCTGGAGACTCCTCCTCTACACGGCTTCCTGGAGAACACGCTGCCAACACCTGGATCTGAGAAGAGCAACGCAGGAGTCCGAGTCGGTCAGTGTGTGTGAGAGTTCCAACCATTGTTGTGAGGACATTTCTGCCTTGTGTGGGTCCTCACAGAGAGAGTAAGACAAGCACATGTGTTAACACAGACCTGACCTTGGAGTTTGCCTTTTCCCAGAATCCTTCAGCCTCGTCCACCTGACCTCCGGTTTCATCAACTATGTCCAATCAGAACACAAAGGGGTGGAGCCAACAGTCGACCAGCTGTCCATAAGTGTGAGTGACGGCCTGCACCACTCCGCCCCTGTCCCCTTCTACATCATCATCAATCCAACCAATGATGAGCTGCCCTCTCTGCTGCTCGCCAACTTCACCGTACGTGCACCTTAGGACTGACTTCACGTTTGCCTGTAGTTTCCTGCCTTGTAATGATATGCAGGTGCTAGCATAGTGATGTCCTCCTCCTGCAGGTGAAGGAGGGCGGGATGAGGGAGCTAACTCCATCAATACTGAATGGCTTGGACTTGGACGCCCCTCCAGACCTCCTCACCTTCAGTGTGGTGCAGCCGCCGGCTCACGGCAGCCTGATCAATGGCATCTATGGTGTGGAGATGAGCCGCTACAAGGAGATGGGAACTGAACTCCTGCAGAGGAGCCTCCCCATCACCTCCTTCAGCCTGGAGGAGCTTCGACAAGGTGAGAGAAACCAACAAGTCACTGACAAAACTGAAGGTGTTTTTCCCAGAAGACGTTAGGAAAACTGCCCACTGTGACTCTCCAGAGCCAAAGGTCTCTTTGTGTCCAACCAGCAGATCCACAGAGACTCAGCTGATTCTTATGTCTGACAAAGAAAAGCATCAGCTCCTCACATTAAAAAAGGTGGAACCAGAACATGTTGGTGACTGTTGCTTCTAAATAGCTGCCGGGTTCATTTTCTACCAGTGAACTGACTCGTGGCTGCAGCTCTAGGTCACTGAATGGCTTCATGAGGACAACACAGCAGGTCAGACACAGTGAGGGAATCTGGTTTGGAAGGAGGAGGTTTCCTCCTCCGACACAGGAGACCTGATGAGGGAACTGGGTGGTGGTCTGTCCTGTCAGTTGTCACCCAGGTGCTGTAATTGTGCTTGTATACATACCCTATGTAATGTATTTATCTTTTACTTTGTGTCCTGCTCTTTTCCCTCCACCCTTCTGCCATATAACCCTGCCCTCCATTTCACCTGCTCTCCTTCCTCCCTCTTCCTCCTCCTCCTCCCTCTGTAGGCATGAAGATCGTGTACATGCACGATGACACCGAAACCCTGAAGGACACTGTGGTTCTGCAGCTGACAGATGGTGTCCACACAGTCCAGGGGACGGCTCAGGTCACCGTGCTGCCGGTCAACGACGAGAAACCACGACTGCTGAGGTACACACACACACACACACACACACACACACACACACACACACAGATATAAGGATTTAACGTTTAAAGCCTGGCGATGTGGCATTTCTGGAAATCTGAGACTGTGAGAGGTTTTCATTCAGGGTTAGTGGAGTTGAAAGCACTGTTGTACAGTTCATGCAGAGGTATTTGATACAACTTGATTTTTTACATATTAGGTGGGATTGGCTGCATAAAAGAGACATGAGGCACAGTTAAAAGATGTCTAGTAATTTGGTTAACAACAAGAAACGATCAAAACAGTATCAGATGTGTTATTTTACAGGGGGCTTTTGTTTATATGTTGATTCACTCTGAGATGGAAAAACAGGAAGGATAATTAGCACACTGCCTGCTGCTGCTGTGCGATAATGTGAAACCAAGAGGAGCAGGAGGGGCCGAGGTCAGGGAGTCGACACGGGGGGTAACCTGTGTGTGCACGTGGTCACTTTGCTTCAGTGGGTGGCTACAGAGAACAACTGTGACCCCCCCCTTCTCCACCCTCACCCATAATGTTTTCATTTGAAGGGGAATTTGCACCCTTGAGTGGGTTCCCCTGCTGTCCTGCCTCCACCCCCTTCCCCACTGTCCCCAAGTCAGTTGTTGGTGTGCGTGGGCACTAACGGCCACTGAGGCAGAAGTAATGCAGAGACTTGGCAGATGCTGGCCTCCTTGTTTTATCGTTCCTGCAGGATGGACGTGCCAGCTTCTCTTCTGTGGATTTTAGTTCCAAATGAGGAAGCAGCCAGACATTTTCTGATGTTCGCCCCCGCTCAATACCACCTCACTACCCCAAGTCTCCATAATCAAACTGGACAAACCTGCTCTCACCAAAACTTTTAACTTCTACCTGCTTATATCACAATCATAGCACACACAGGTGACAAATGGAAGGAAAAGCCCTAACCAAGTTTGGCACCTGTCTGCGTGTGCAGATTATGTTCATCACATCAAACTGCAGCTGATTCACAGGCAGTTTCATAGACAACCAGTTATGGACACGACAGATACATACTGTAAAGCAAGGCTGCAACTAATGATTACAGGGTGTTTGTAGGTTCTGTATGTGGAAGCTTCAACCACTTACCTGTTACTTTTAGAAAGCTTTAGCCCAAATGAACCTGTTTATTCCCTGGTTGAACTGGCCTAAATGTTGTGGATGACAGTGCAAAAAGGGGACTAGAACAAATCTAAACATCAACCCAGCGATCATATTTGAATGACTGTTCTTTGGTGGTGTTTCAGGAACGTTGGGTTGGAGGTGCTCTCTGGGGAGCACAGGGTGATCTCCAACGTGGCCCTGGAGGCTGAGGACCTGGACACACCTCCCAGCCAGGTGTACTACTTCATTAACGCTGCACCACGCTTTGGCAAACTGCAGCTTAAGGTAATGAAAAACCCTGTATGTGTGTGCGTACGTACAGTTTTCTTGGTGAGGACCATTTTCAGTCTTAGACCTTGATGTGGATGCTGTGTTATGAGGGTGTTTCTCTGATCATCAGCTCTTCACAGGACCTTTGGAGGATTAAGGGTAGAGTTAGAATTAGGTTTTAATCTCCCTGAATCCTCATCAGAATGAGCTGTGTTTATCTTTCATCAGCTGCAAGTAACTGAATTTAAAAAGAACAAGTCAAAGTTCTGTGAGCAGACGTTGTTGGGTGTGAACCAGCTGTAAATACATCAATATTAACATTAACGAAGCATCCTAATCACTGTTGACAACCTTTATTTTCAACCTGCTGAGCTGATCAGCAGCTGATTTGAAATATGATCTGCTGATTGATAGTGACGTGCTGAAAAAAACAGTTGCAACATTACATCTGATTCTTCACGCACCACTAACAGAGCTTCTGGTTCAGAGCTCAGAGCTCAGTGAGCTCCAAACATTGATCTGTCGCAGCAAAGGTAGAACTGTATTTAACCATCAGCTGAACTTTTCTCTGCACAAGCTACAAAAACTATAAAAATGCGGCTGTAGTTAGTCAGTCACGCTGTGACTGGCCCAGACAGGCTTATAGGAGGAACCCAACTGGGTCACAGATTAATAATAAATACTGTGACCTCGCCTGTCAGATTGTTCTCACTTTCTGATGTGGTCATTTCTTAATTAATTTGTGATGATGTCATTTTGGATTTCAGGATTTTATTTATTTAGATGTTTTGTGTTTTGTCTTAACATCTCAGGACTGTATTGGAAATAAGTGTAACATGTTGTTTATTTGGTCTAAAATCCATCAGTAGGTCACGTTATCATAAGACCCAGCATACCGTGTGGTAACGTGGCTTGTCTGCAGACAGGGTCGGGTTGGACCGAGCTGTCGGCCAGGCAGAACTTCACTCAGGATGATGTGGAGATGAACCGTCTGTGGTACAAACACACCGCCGCCGCCAACACCCCCGGCTTCAAAGGTCACGACAGCTTCCGCTTCACGCTCAGCGACCTGGACAACGAGCCGCCTGCGCAGAGTTTCTTCATCTCCATCCACACTGTGCAGAAAGGTCAGAGGTCATATGTGCTCAAGAATAAGGAGTCCTGAGAATTAAAGCGCAATCAATAGTTAAAAGACTAAGGGCTCATTTTCACTTGTCATTTCAACCGTCTCATATCTGGATGAAGCCCAGATGAGATTTTGTCTACACTTATCCTGGTACTGTGTATGTGTCTCTGATCTCTGGTTACTTCTGATCTGAGGCATCAACAACGTTTTCTGTCACAACAGAGTGCAACGTTATGGACGACCTCCAGGAGCAGCTCTGTCAGGCTGAGTTTGGGTACAGTGGTGCTTTTTGGGGACCACTGTATTTAGTATTTTACACCAAGAATGTGTGAAATAAAGTGAAAGGGGTGTGACAGTGTGTGTGTGTGTGTGTGTGTGTGTGGTAGTGAGGAACCTCCAGAGAATGATCAGCTGAATGTGCAGCTCCCCTCGGCTTCACTGCCTCTGCTCTCAGAGTATGGTTTTGGGCCGTGGCAGGAACCAGCTGTTTTCAAAGTGGACACTCTGAACAGCATGTCCACTACCAGCTCAGCAGTTAGGGATGAGCTGGTGAATGTGCTGGAGCATGTAGCAGCTACAGAGCCAGATGTTCCCAAACTTAGAAGGTGGCATGTCAGTGTTGTGTTTCTGCTGAAAACAAGTGAAGAACAAATACATTATTGCAGGTTTATTTTATTTTACCTTTATTTTACCACGAAGTCCCACTGAGATCTCTTTTTTCAGAAATTTGATTTACATGAACTGAGCAAGTGAGATTAATAGAGGTGCCCGGCCAATAAAGCTGATTCTGAAAGCTTAAACTGAAATTGCAAGATTCTCACATGACAGAACCGATAAGAATCCAGTGTCCATGTGCACAGAAACGCACAAACCCTGAGTGTGCACCTTCACATGCCTCCGCCCTCTGTGGTCCTTCTGGCCGGTCGTGGTTCATACATTATTGAGGTGCCAGCTTTGCCAGTCGGGTGAACATGGTGCTGTGAGGCATCAGCCCTTCTGGCTCGGGGCCCTCTGATCCTGTAGCATCCCGAGGTGAGAAATGAGCATCTTCCTCAGCTGGTGAATAATTAACGCAGGCGAGAAGGAGCAGCTGTGGAGGGGTGTGGGCTTGCCTCCTCTGGGTGCTCTTCCTTCTCCAACAAATAGACACGCTTTGGTCTGTTCGTTTTCTGCTCTCAGTTTAACGTGAACTTTAATCAGTCCTGTTTGCATCAGCCTGTGTTTGACATCATGCCCAGAAAGCTGCAGTGCAGTGAAGCCACAAGTCTGAGCTTAAAGACATTCACAGGCTTGTCCACAGCTTCTCACTGTGTTCACACAGTGGACAGAACTGGCTCAGGTGTCGTCCTGTAACTGTAACATGGACTTACAGGCGGTCGTATACAGCTTTTTACTGCTCACAGTTTCTTAATGTCAAACACTCCAAATGTACCCC